AACCTTTGAAAATGTCCAGAACATAATTTTTCTTCATTTTTTTTTTTTTTTTTTAAATTTGATTATCTCGTTTGAAAAACGATGTATAATCATGAGTATGATAATAAATTAAAAAGATGAAAAATACTTTATATTCATTTTTGAATGCAGCATCATCGTCTTGAGACATTTTATCTAATATGCATTCCAAATCTTTTGTTGATATGGTTTTGTTTGAACGTGAGAGTCCCCCTCTTAGGTCATTTGCATATCCAGGGTCTTTGAGAAGTGGTGTTGTTGGAACACTGCCTGTTATATCTTGTTCGAACGTTGTAGTTCCTAGAATTGTGCCTTACTTATTTAATAAAAACTAATCTGATGTTAACTTTTTTTTGTTATTTATGAGGCTGCTTTTTTAAAATGTTTAAATTCTTCCTAGTTTGTTATACATACTCTTTTTAACATGTACATTACAAAAAGATAGTTGTGGATAGTTAGGAATTACAAGTAGACATACACTGTACACACACCCTCACAAAAACCCTTACATACAAACAATATTAACTTACGATGCATTGGAAATGACTTTCTTCTCTCTTCTGTCGGATGTATGATCAATTCTTGGTTTTCGATCTGATTATCTTTTCTCAATTTCTTTCTTAACCTTTTAAAAAAATATCATGAAATGTTAGCAACTGGATGTGAGAGAACATGATTAATGCAGAAAAGTTTTCATATATATAGATAATTTTATCAATTTTATTGATTGTCAATACCACATGTAGCTTGGTTTAATTTTAAAATATCAAAATAACTCTTTGACTTCATCCTACTTCCAATTAGAATCGTATGTGTTTATCCCAAAAAAATATTTACTGTCTCTCCAATTAAATTATAAATACGCAATTGTTCCTTGCAAAAACATCTATGCAGTGATTTTTTTTGTTATAAATTATCTAAATATTAATTTTTTTAATTAATAAAGCATTATAGACAACACTTAACTTTATTCTTATTATAAAAACATATGCCAAACATGTTTTGATGTTTTAAAACGTCAGGAAGCTATACTAAGCAAAATAAGTTTAGCAATTTAATATATTTTAAAACAAAGTAAAAGAAAATAGACACAGCACTTTCAATTAAATTATGATATAAGCTTGTCATCAATAACAAAATAAGGCAAATTTTATCAACAATTGTGTGCTGTTTTAAAAGAAATATCGTGAAAGTGATCACAGATACAGATTTGAAAAGTCACATTCAGTTTCAATAATGTGGAAGGCGTCTATAGCTAATTGCAGCAATAACAACATCACAACGGCACCTCATGCTCCTTATAAGGTTTCTTATCTCAAGCATGATGATCTGGTTCCACTCCTGCTGCAGCGCAAGAGTCCGCTACACTACTTTGTTGTCGTTATGTTGCTGTCTTAAACAACAACCAAGAATGTCACAAACGTGTTCAATGGGTGACAGATCTGGCGATCTCGCGGGCCAGTCAAAGATCTTAACGTTATTCTGATGAAGGACAGCTTGTGTGCCGTGCGGGCATTGCCCATGCGAGGCTGGTCTGTCGATGACGTTGGGTTATTGGTACTGCTGTGCGAGGTTTTCGAGCTCGATTTGCTAAACCTAGCTGGGTGTTTTTACACGTAGTCCACATAACCTAAGTTCAGTTGCACTAGGTAATTCGTCTGCAACTTTAGAACCAGTCATGAAACGGTTACGTCTCGACGTTGGAACAGTAAAATGTTCTTGCATAACCGTCGTTTTAAGAATTACTAACATGTCAAGTGGTCCAGGATGGTTTAAAAGTCAACATATGGTCAACCAATGCAGAAAAAGTCCAGCGTCATTTCTTTTTGAGCAACGGGCGTTAGCATCTCTATAGTCGTTTGACATTCATTTTTGAAAAGTCCTGGACGTTTCCTAATTTGTCGTTTTTGCACGTTTTCTCCGGTTTTCTTTTACAAGCGTGCTCGAAAGACTTTTCAAGTAGAAAATTCTTTCAGGACTATGTTTGTTCGAGCGTAACCTTTTGTATTGTTGAAATGTCATAACGTTGGACGACGCGGTTTTTGCGCGTCAAGTTAAACAATGAAGCGTGTCTTTTGTTACACTTTTCTATATTGATCTTAAGTAGAAACAAAATAAAACAATTTCGAAAAAGATTTTTAAAATTATACCAATGGAAAAACAATTGCTAAACTTATTTTGCTCAGTATATATTATTGAACAAACCGAAGGAAGAGAATGGCTGATAGAAGGCATATCAAGAAGAGTATGCTCGTTCCAACTGATAGTTCAACAGTTAACGTGTCCTCCTCTCTGTTACTAAATTTGCCTCTTCCTCTTATTTCATCCCCTGATATAAGTAGAGATAAAAAAGGCCTCACTTTTTTAGGTGAATAATATTTATTTATCTGTATTTTTACTTGTTCAATTTTTTTTCGTCTTGGCTTTAACAAATGAATGGTTGAAAAAAAATTCTATCTTACAATCAGTTAACCTTATGAAACTTTAAAGTTATGTTCATTTGCTATCTCCCGAATCACAGTAAATCAACTGGATAGGTAGATAGGTGGAAACATTTTTCTAAAGCATCAAACTTCATAAAAATTCGCGGAGAGGGGATATCGTTCCATTAATATTAATAGATTATCGGCCGGGAGAGGGTATCAAAACATTTTTGAAGGAATTCCTCACAAGTTATATTGACATTGATGTCTTATTACATGTGCAATACAAGAATAATTACCTTTTTTGCAATCAGTTTCACTATGCCATCCTGACGAACAAGGACACATTCCGCTAACATGATCACAAGATTTTGTACAGTTCTCTGGACACGTTGACGAGCAATTGTTACCAAAGTAACCATCCGTACACTCTAATATTAAGCTAATATATTTGCATTCTTGTCGGTACGAAGGAAACAACAATTATGAAAATACTGTTACCGAAGGATTTAAATTCAATTGCCCGTAAATCATAACTTTTTTTACTTTTAACGAAGGGGAAACATCAATAAAAATATTTACATACAGGTTGTATTACATAAAGCAATTATACTAATTCCATCATTTTCATAATCACTCTATATTTTTTTATCTGATGATAAAAAAAATTGAAATGACAATTTGATTTAGATACATTTACGAGACATTATTAATGTTGAAATGCAAAAAATTAATTAAAAGTACAATTTCATTCTTCAAAACATACCTTCTTTACACAAAGGACCAATGAATCCGTTTGCACAGCCATTGTCACAGACACCAGTCACGTGGTTACATGTCTCATTGTGTACACAGCGTTTACTACAACCTTTTCCACAATATTCCCCATATGTTTGTAAACTACACTCTGTTTAATAAAATTGCCAAGGACTAATAAACGATTAAATTTAAGACTATCTAAGTGACTACTTCCCAGCATTGTTTATAGGTTAAGCAAAAAACATTGAATTTAAATTTATTTCTCTTAAGGGGAGACCTATGTCCGAAATGTCTGTGTGAAATTTTCAAAACTTTGACATTTCATTCCTGACCATTTGCCCTTAATTTTTAGGTTTTAAGAACAATACCTTTTTATGTTTAATTTTACACAGGAGCACGTACAAAAACAGTGTGAAATGCTAAAAATAGATTATTTTCAGACATTATTGTTCTACCCCAAATGTGCGCTAAGAAGAACCAAAAATGTCAAATCATATTCAGAATCAACACTTATTTAATTTATATGACTTGTATCCTTAAAATAGAGGCAAATTCATCGAAATCCATCTCGCATGAAAAATTATAATGGAGCACAATGTAAGTATTACCCCTTTTTTCTCGTCGTATTGTTTACAATTTCGACATGCATAACAGGTAATATCTTAGAAAGTCTTTGTGTGAAACTGTTGTCATTCATATTTTTTTAAAGAAATGATTCATCTCTATATTTCAACAAAGAAAAAAGTATACCTTTATGATGAAATAAACGAGAAATATTACGTTTTCTTTCATTTTTGTACTCTTATGTCATAAATATTGACTTTTATGCACTAAAAAAGGGTAAGTAAGCACTGACAAACATCTGAATATAAAACTATTTTGCGGAAAACGAGTATTTTGTTTTGATTAGAAACAATTTAAATAGATAAATTTTCTTCCACATTCCATTCATACTGCCCCCCCCCCCCATTTTCCCCTCAACAACCAATGCCTATTAGAACCTCGGAATGACTTTATATAATAAAATCTACATGGACTATATAAATCAATAAGCAAATATAAACCTGTACAAGTACATTTCTTATTTTTTTCTTAGAAAATCGATTGATGGTAATCATAAAATTAAACATATTTCCCTGATCTAAGCCGCTTTCTTTGCTTAATTTAATCCCTTTTTGCACTATTATATCAGCATATTATGGAGGTATTTTTTTTCAAAGTAGAAATTGCTATGAATTATCAACCAAAGGAAGAAAATTCTAATATTACCAAACTCCATAAATCAAATAAAACTGTTATTAATAATGAATAAATTTTCTTTTTTGTAAATTGTGTACGTTATTGATTATCAACAATGTTATGCCTACTAGTATATCACAGTTGCAAAAGTCAACAGGTAAAAACAAACGTCGCAATTGTGACGTCACCTAACGCTGCCTTGACGTAGAACGACATAGGTCCCCCCTTAATATATAGAGAATAATACAAACCCTTTTCCATATCACATCCTGTATCAGCCCGAGACACCATTATTAGCCAGAGGGCCGAAGACCCGAGGGCTGATATTGGTCGAGGGCATAAACAGGATGTGATGTGGGAAAGGGTATGTTTTATTATGTTTATTACATACTAAATAATAAAACATAGTACACATTAAGTTGAGAAGAAAATAAATGAATAATCGTGCACATACTTCTTACATGCACACGGTCTATTGTCTCATATGGTATGGGTTTGTTTCTACATGTACTTCTATGTCAAATGTGCCCGATCCGTAATTTGAAAATAATTCATTATTTGTCAATAATGAATTACATTATATTATCCTTACATTCAAAAAGTTAAAATTAAGAGAATATCTAACCCCCCAAATTATGTGTATGATCACTAGTACTGTTTATTGTTATTTTAGGGTTAATTTTCTAGAGGAGTGATATTGATCCTTATCAGCCCAGCAAATCCATATCAGCCCTTCAGGGCTGATATGGCTATTGTGACGTCAGTCATATCACATATGCAAAAATCCTGTATTTATTACTCAGTACATGTATGTAATAAATATCTATATCAATTTATTTAATCTATGTGTACTGCAGTGTCTGTATATATTTCATAATCTTGAAAAGACCTCTCCCCTCCCCCCCCCCTCTCTTGAGCTAAAGAAACTTATCAAATTGACTGTTTGAAATTGTGAGTAACAGTGGGAATATTAACATATATTCATACATGTACTCAGTTAATGTAACTATGCTACGATAGCTTATAATGATACCATAACAATATAAACACTTTTTATGAAAAAAATAATATTTGCAGGGTGAGGAGGGTAATTTTTGTTGTTTTTAAAGATCCATGAATTAAGTACACCATGAAATGCAATTTTTTAAAATATATTACTACAATACTTCAAGAAGAGAATCCAATGTCCATGACCAGCATATTTTCCTTAAACATGAAAATTTGACCCCTCGAAAATATATGATTTGACACTATAGTCTCAACGTAAGGTTATATAACAACATAAAAATACCGTTGGAGCAATTGAAGCCTTGATATCCTGGTTCGCACCCATAACTGCATTTACCATTGACATTGGAACAGGAATTGTTAGAACAGGTACCGCTGCAATTCTGGGAGCATTTTGGTCCATAGTGGCCTTTACTGCACTCTTTAACAAAATTTTTTGAACAGTCACTGGTTTAAGTGATTTTTAAGTGATATGAAAAAATTTTTTTTTATACTCATATATTTATCATTAGCAGTGTCTGTCAATATACCTTTATCGCACCTTTCTCCGACATATCCATCTTTGCATCCTATATCACAGTGTCCAGTGGTATGATTGCACTTTTTGTCATTAAAGCAATAAGTACTACAAACTTCTGTGCATTTGTTTCCGAAATGTCCTGACTCACATACTGTATGAGAGATTGAAGATCATCTTTAATTTAGACAATTTGCTGTGGTTTATAAGAAGAGAGAAAGAAGGTGCCATTGTTATGTGTATCAAAAAGTAAAACCATTGTTTTGAAACAGTGTCTTCTTCAGTGAAAATGTATTCTCTAATAATAGCATCCTTTAAACATGTAAAGCGTTATCATTTTGGAACTGGGTCCACTCAAGGAATGTGTTATAAGAAAATACTGTAAATGTAAAATGAATAATATCTGGCATGTACTACATTTGGCATTTGGCATTAATTTATAACCAAGTAAGCGTAGATTTTTTTTTACGCTTTCTTAATGTGCTAGATAAAAATTCATGATCTACAAGACATTTAGTGATGTTCTTGATTTAGCAGACCCTGCTTTCCGCCTATATCGCTTAATAAAATACTCATTGTAAGGCGATAGATACTTCCTTGCTTGAAGCCAGCTTGCTTTTAATATATAATACAACATATGTTATAAACAATGCCTTCATAACAATCGCTCCATCATGTATGTAAAGGGATCGTTTCATTTAGCTGCTCAGATAATAATTCACTTTTCATAACTTTAATTGCTATCCGAATTCAGATTTCTACGATAGTACTTCTAAAGTCAACTTATACCTCAACCTAACCTCACTCTTTTCTGCTGACATTTAATGGATGTGTTTGTTACATATATATGTAGCTTGCTTTATTATCATCTTTTTAATTTTCAGTAAGGCAAATTTAAAAAAAATTCATGATACTTTATCCCCAAAAATGCTTGATACCTTATATTGCTCAAAATAGTAAAACATATAACTATTGATAATAATTAAAAATGTATAGCGAACAATTACTTGAAATGAACTTCAGATTTCAAATGAAAAGAATAAAGATATATAATTTCAAATTCAAAACAATCAATGATAATTTTTTGAACTTTAGCTTTCATTTATTCAAAAGCTTAAGATACCAATAAACTGGAATTTAATCGTGTTTGTATCGTGTATGACGATTTTCATCCTTTATGTACTTACTTTGATCACATTTCCCATTTAAATAGCCCGGACTGCAACCTTCGTCACAATTTCCGGAGATTTTATTGCAAGGTTTTCCATGTAGACAGTGTCCACTACAGCTGAACACGCAGTTTTCACCATATGATCCGTCTAGGCATTCTTTGAAGTCATTATGAAAACACACATTTTACATTCGATCTATCCTTATTAATGTTTATTGACTTCAAATAATTTTCAAACACCTTTCAAATCACAGTCTGATAAACATGAAAAATGATGAAAACTTACTCAGACGAAAGAGTTTCATTTTTGTGTATAGAGAGTAAATACTAATGGCTTCTGTTATGCAAATTACAGATACAACAACGAAAGTATGAAAAATTACCTAAATTCAATTTAATCCATCTCACCTTTATCACACAAAGTCCCTGTCCAACCAGAAGCACATCCTCCACTGCAATGACCTAATACACCATCACAGTTGGCATTGTCCTTACAATGTCCAGCACAAGTTTGTTTACATTCGAGTCCATATTTCCCAACTGGACACTCTGGGGGAAAATTACGCTATTAAAAATTAATTCTAGATCTCAGATGTTTTGTGAAAATTGTTTCCTTTTAATCAAACACAAAGCATATACTGTATCTAAATTTTTACCATTACTACATAGATCCCCGACCCATCCAGGTTTACATCCAAGACATGTTCCGTCCAAGATATGGCATCTTTTTTCTTGGCATTGTTCTGGACATCTATGATTGCAATTTTGACCATACATTCCACTTTCAGAACAACCTTACCGATGTGAATGGGAAAACAAAATTAGTTATTCCCTCATTTTTTTCCATCTAGGATTGATTTGAAATCACGCATTAGTTTGAAAAATGCAATGAACATTTATCACTACTAAATGTGTACCTTGTACATCTACATCACATAACTCTGTAATAGAAGATTGTTCGAAACCTTCAGGATACCCGTCGGGATATTCACTATCAGGAAGTCGTTCGTTATAGTAGATGACGTAACGTGCATGACCAATACATGTTGTATTAAAATCTAGGGGAGGTAATTCTTGACCGTCTATGAAACAGCGGTAACCTTCCTCTTTGTTTGTGGAGTTAGAGAGATAAAGGGAAAATCCTGCAAATCGCCCTCTTTGACGTTCAACTGTTTAAATAATAACATAACATCTGTAAAATAGAACTTAAGTATAATATAATTGTATTTTATCATCAAAGTAAAAATTGACAAGAGTTTAGCTCTACTTGGGACAATTTCCAGTTAAGCTTGCACTTTCAGTAAGGCGTGGCATTCTCGACGTTACATGATTAGCTTCTGAAATTTACACAGCTTTCCTTCACTGTTTAAATACACATAGGATAGAAATTCAGCTGAATGTCAACTAGTGTAGCAAATAGCCAATTTATAGTTCTCGCACGGCACAGAGGCGGAGCTTACGTCTCATCGTTGTCAACAATTTAGAGTTCCTGATGTTATTAATTTCAACCAATGAGAATATGTTTGCCATTTGACAGATGCTTATTACGTTGCGCCGAGAATACCACGCCTTACTGAAAGTCCAAGCTTACCAGAAAACTGTAATATCACATTTGTACACGATTTACTATGTTTAAAAATTTCACTCATTATTAGTTGATAATCCTCTAGTTCACATGATTGTTAATTTGAAATCGTGGCTTATTCATCTTATTTCAATTTTACAAGAAATCATCAGAGACGACCACTTCGCTCGTTACGTCATCAATGGCGTTTTTCCTTTAAACCCCTTTTTGGCTCACCTGAGCCAAAGGCTCAAGTGAGCTTTTCTGATCACAATTTGTCCGTTGACTGTCGTTGTCGTCGTCGTCGCTGTTGTAAACTTTTCACATTTTGTACTTCTTTTCAAGAACCGCTGGGCCAATTTCAGCCAAACTTGCCACAAAGCATTCTTGGGTGAAGGGGATTCAAGTTTGTTCAAATGAAGGGCCCTGCCCTCATTCAAGGGGAGATAATTGGGAATTAATGAAAATTTGGTGGTGTCTTTTAAAAATTTTCTTCTCAAGGACCACTGTGCCAGGAAAAATGAAACTTATGGGGAAACATCCTCAGGTAGTGTAGATTCAAGTTTGTTCAAATCATGACCCCGGGGGTAGGGCGGGGCCAAAATGGCCGACCAAAGTTTTGCATAGAAATAGGAAAATTCTTTAAAAATCTTCTCAAGAATAACAAAGCCATAATTTATCATATTTATATGGAAGCATCCTCAGGTAATGTAGATTCAGGTTTGTTCAAAACATGACCCCGGGGGTAGGGCGGGGTCAAAATGGCCAACCAAACTTTTACATAGAAAAAGATAGGAAAATTCTTTAGAAATCATCTTACCAAGAATAGCAAAGCCATGATCGCTCATGGGACTACTTTTGGATATAAACAATTCAATAATAAACCAATTTCTACTTTTTCCCAGCCACAGTGCTCAGGTGAGCGATGTGGCCCATGGGCCTCTTGTTTTAAACAATAATATCACCATATAAATTGTATTTCTACCTGTATACGACATAGGAAAATTTGAGTTTTATTTTTTTTTAGTTTTTTAATCATATCAGTGAATTAAACAAAAAAGTAGGTTCATATGCTTGTTCTTCTTGTGAAATCAAGACCGTAATTATTGCACACATTTTTTTTTTACAGAATGTGAACCATTACAAGATTTATCGAACAATTTTGATAGTTGTTTTAGAGTTTCATATTAAAGTGGTATACGAGTATTCAAATAATAAATTCATTTTGGGATCATTTGAAAAATTAAACAATATTACCAATTGCTCTGCAAATTAAATCTGTTAAATGAGATGTCGTGGTAAAAAAAACTCTCTTTGAATAGACTATATCAAATATTTGTATGAAACAAACTAGTACATGGAATATAAGAACAATAATCAGGTAACTTTTGACGAAGCCTATGAGCCCTTGAAGAATCTGCTTCTGTATTTTTTGTTTTTCTCTCTCTTTCAAAATTCCCCCCTCTATCTCTATTTTCTCTCTCTAATAAAAAATAAAAAAAAAATCTACAGAAAATGTATATACTAGTTACATGTATCGGCCGCAGCAGCAGTGCACATGGGGAAATGAGACGTTGTTTTTTTTATTTGTAGAGTAAAATATTTCTTAAATGATAACATGTATTATATCATGAGTAAAATATTTTTTAACACTTGGTTTAAATTAAGTATTATTTGTTGTTATTATGTTTCAACTTCATTATCATTTCTCATCAGGTAGTTGATAATTTATGGTTATATAAAGCGTTTACAATAGGTACTCCCCACTCTGGGAGTGTGTAAAATTTAAAAGGAAATCATCACGATTTTCCGGATAAAAATAATATGATAAAAGTGCATGGTGAATAAAAATTGAGAAGTTGTTCAATTGGTATAAATTGTTCTGAATATGCTGGAGCTGCGGTTGAAACAATATTTTTTTTACATTTTGCACCGTGCCTTGCAGCATAGCCTCCTCTGCAGAAACCACAGGCATTATCACGTGACAGAGATCAAGGGTATCAACACGTGGTTTATCTTGAAGCCTGCATCTTCATTTTGATGACTATAAATTCTTATCCTCAATAACTTTATAATCCGATGAATACATTTGATGAACAAATGCACTTAAGTGCACTAAAATGTTTATTTATTTGATTTTCAAAATTATTTTGAATTATTATTTTGCTTTGAAGACAGTCTGAAAAAGATCAATATTTTAGCTTTGAATAATTTGTATTTTCTTTAATTTGAAATGCTAAATTTTGTTTGCTGCCAATTCGATGCTTTGCATCAATTTAACTTGTGTGTATTGTGAAACTATGTATCAGAATCTGTGAATTTAAACAAAATCTACGTGTGAATTGTATATTCTAGAGCTGACTAAATGTACACGAGTCAGTTCTTAAACGCGCAGTCCATTTTTTTCTAACTTTTAATTGGATAAAATCATCTACATGTAACATCCTACCGTATCCAGCATAAGATTTGAATAGTATCCTAATGCTGTATATACTCCTCACTTTTCCAAGATCCACATACCAACAGGTAAATTTTTCAGCATATTTGGTAATTGTTCTTGTTCTAGAGCAAGTACTTTTGTTTTCATCAATAGCGTTTTGTGATTTGTATCTATTACAGTCGACTTCCATAAAACATTGCCAAGTTTGATGTTGTTGAGTTGATTTTCCTTTAGATAAATTTTCTGCAAAATAGAATCAATGCATATTCTATGAACCATACATCTGATGAAATTAAATACAGATTTAACTAGAAATTATTTTATTCATCAAGAATTAATTTATTGTACTTTGAAATAAAATACATGTGCTTCCTTACAGAATGATATCCCTTTCCATTTTCGGCAATAACCTTTAACGGCAAATGTTTCGCTTTGGTATTACTTAATTCTTTTTTCAATGAAACAAAAAAGAACAATAATTTATTTTCTTTTTAAATCAAACGGAGAGAAAAAAAAACTTTTCTGAAAAAGTGTTTCCATCGGATTTAGATATTAGGTGCTCGATCCCGATTTGAGTTGATCTCGACCTTAATTTAACTTAGAAACGATAACTATAAATTTTGATTGAATTGATATTAACCATGTCAAGAGCTTGCATACAAATCATTTTATGAAACATAAAATTATATTTATACCATGAAGAATTTAATAAGATTTTCATGAAATTCATGTAACATTAGTAAACTTTTATATGTACGCTAATTAAGTCAATGTCATTTGCAATGTAAAACACAAACATATGTTTTAATTTTTTCTGCTTCAAAAGGATAAATAGCATTAGCTAAGTTGTTCGAAAAGATTTGTTATCTACCGAATGGCAACATAGTGAAGTTAAACTTTTCTCAAATGCAAATTAAATATAATGGTACTCATTGGTACTCAAAGTAGGGTATTCTCACATTAAATACAATTGTGAAATATTAAAGCCCTAGCACCACCTGTTCAAAAGTTATGACCAAGGATGAGTATTTAAAAGGTAGGTCAAACTTTAAGACCAAAATAAAAGTTATTACACCTTAAGAAAGGTCATTTCACAAGGATTACATATGTGAAGTATGGAAGCCCTAACCCTTACCGTTCACAAGTTATGGCCAAGGTTAAGTTTTTAAAAAGGAGGTCAAACTCCAAAGTAAAATGTTTTTTTCATATTAAATGAAAGTTTTGTCACAAAATGAAAGATATGTGAAATGTGAAATCCCTAGCTCTGACCCTTCAAAAGTTACAACCGTTCACGGTAGCTCAGGCGGTAGAGCGCTCGCTCCGTGATCGGGGGGTCGTGAGTTCGCATCTCGGCCGCGACTGACCTAGTCGTTAAAATGGGTAGCAACTGTTCCTTCGCCATGCGCTCGGAACTTTGAAGTGAAAGTTGCGGGTCCTTCGGATGAGACCTTAAAAACCGAGGCCCTGTGTCAGCGGCAGGCGTTGGCACGATAAAGCTCCCTCACTGCTCAATGGCCCTGAGTGCCGAGTAAAGGTCAAAATTTGAAGCCCTTCACCGACATACGGTGACGTCTCCAAATGAGTGAAAAATTCTCGAGAGGGACGTTAAACAATATACAATCAATCAATCAATCAAAAGTTACATGTATGGTCAAAGTTTGTTTTTTAAAGAAGGTCAAACTCCGAGGTTAAGGGTCAAAGTCCTTGGTATCCAATGAAATTTCTTCTCACAAGGATTACACAAGTATAAAAGCCCTAGCCCTTACCGTTCAAACATTATGGCCAAGGCTCAAGTTTTTCGTAGGCACGGAAATCTCCAAGGTTGTTGATATATTGTGCATTGTGATATATTGTGTATGATGATTTAAAACTGGTATAACCTTTAGTACTGTTACTTGCATCAGACGACAACTACAACTCATTTATGTATAATAACAGAATTTCTCATGACGCAATCTCTCTGATATCTGTTAGATTTGTAAGATCATCATCTAAAAATAAACCAATTGAAGGCTATTGCCGATGGAACTCGGTTGCCATGACTGTTACACCATTATACTGATGACAAACATAAATTACTGACTATGAAAAGTATTAGTAGAGATTCTCATAAACAAATCCAATACCAGCTGATAAAAAAACCCTACTTTGTTGTTGCAGATGACCCTATTTTCTTAAAGATATGAAACTATTTTTCCAAAGCTCAAATGATATATGAATAGAAATATACAACTACTCTCAGTTTAGGAGTTGTGTATGGAAATCTGGTTAACGGGTTACAGCGTCGCCTGACTACGATGCAACTGGTTATACTTCTGTTGGGCTGGTCTGTATCTGCATAGACATTCAAATGAGCCTTTGGTGTCCTTGATCGAAGATCAAATCCATAACTTCATTTCAGGATATTGAGAGTTTACCAGATTTTGATAGATGCGAATGATAATTATAAGTGGTTAGTGGTTA